TAAATCTACACTTTGACTTTTAATACTTAACTACAACAAATATCACATACTTTAAGACTTTTACTCAAGTAATATTCCTAAAGGACACTTTAACTTTTATCAAAGTAATTTTTTGGTAAGATACTTGTACTTTTACTCATCACTTTGTGGTACCTTATACAACACTGCAACAAACTTATCAAGTCCAGTCACGTCTTTTAACTTAATTATACATGCTTCCTTCCAAAGTGAGAATATGAACATTTACAGTTTAAAATACCAAAAATAAAATTACTTACTGGTACTTCTTTTGCTAGGCCTACATATATTACACTGAAATTTTCATTTTCACCTGCCTGTAATAAATAATGTAATAATCAGTGGTGGACACAGCTAACCAAAAAGTAAAGTTTGCTGTCCATTTATCTTGTAAACAAGAATCTTAGCTCCGCTAATGCTAAACAACAGATAAATAATTAGTTGAAGCTAATGCTAACCACTAAGACGCCAGCCGCTCAGCCCGTGTCACGCGTCGGCTTCTCATCCCAGCTGAAGACTGGAGGGACACAAACCTGTTGTTAGATTCCTATTGGTTTAATTTGAAGGTGGGTGGGATTATCTCTGGCAAATCCGCCAGTCGAAACCAACGTTTTAGCTCTGTCTATTTCGCAATACTTCAAATTTACCTCTTTTAGAATAATGATAATAATTTTACATATAGTCATATTTGAATGTGTGATTTAAATATTGTGAAATGTTATTTCATTTATTTTTGATGGTCATAGTTTGAAGTTTAGCTGCTAAATGTGCTACACGCTACACACGGTGCCTGACCCGTCCAGCACAGATACTTTTTATTTAATTCAGGATAAATGACATAAAAATATAAGTTTTATGCTTGTGAATTTTTTAGTGGATTGAAAATTAGTGGTACTTAATTTAGCAGATGCTAATTGCTCCTCTAATGGCTTCCAAAGTTAGCAAAAAAAGCAGAGATCCCTTTGATACTCACTTTCTCATTTTTTTCTCTTTGGTCTCCAGACTCATGACAATAAGGAACATCTCGCAATGATGGAGAGAATGCAGGGACCAATTCCTCAACAAATGATTCACAGGAGCAGGTATTGTTTGGCTGTAGCCTTTCAAAATAAAACGTACGTTTTTATTAATTAAATCTGAGAGCCTGAAATGATTTCTTCCTCAGGAAGCAGAGATATTTCTATCATGGCCGTCTGGACTGGAACGAGTGCTCCAAGGCCGGCCGCTTCGTCAGATCAAGATGCAAACCTTTAAGGGTGAGATGACGAGGGCGCAGTTTGTAAAATTACACTGCCAAAGATTACCAGCCATATTTAGCTTTATTTAGCCTTTCATAAGAAAAAAAAATGTAGGGGGCATTTTTCAAAGTAATATTTTTACCTTGATATTCATACACTTATAAATATCATAGTTCCAAACTAAATATTTAATTTCTAAGCTAAATATTTATTAGCTAAATATTTAGGTCTGAACTAAATATTTAGGTCTCAACTAAATATTTAGTTTGGAAATTAAAAGTTTAGTTAGGAATTTAAATGTTTAATTTTGAAAATAAAAATTTAGCTTGGAAATTAAATATTTAGTTTGGAACTATGACATTTATAAATGTATGAATATCAAGGTAAAAATATTACTTTGAAAAATGCCCCCTACATTTCTTTTCTTATGAAAGGCTAAATAAAGCTAAATATTGCTGGTAATTTTTGGCAGTGTAACAGTGCCCCGTAGTAATCAACTAAAACAATTGTTTCTTTTTATATATAAAAAATCTTTCTTGTTCCCTGACTTTGACAGAAACACCTGTTATCACACGGGAGAGAGCATCACCAGTTTTTTGACCTTCTGGAGAAGATGCTGGATTATGAGCCCCTGAAACGCATCGGTCTCCCCTCAGCTCTGAAGCAGCCCTTCTTCCTGCCGTTCACTCGTCCCGCTAACGCTCAGCTCTGGAGAAACAGCTGGGACAAGAAAGAAATGACTCTGAAAGCTACTTGATTCTACGTGGACCAGCGGATTTATCTCACAGCAAAGGGTGAGATTAAATGAGTAAAGAGGTAACAGATTAGTTGGGGAATTTACTAATTGGAATTAAAAAAGATAAATGCTGTAATGAGAATTTTTAGATTGAACACTGCCCCAAAGGAAAAAACGAATGTCTGACAGCAAAATTAAAATAAAAAAATGCTAAAACCTTCATTATAAACGGTGCATCTTAAGAAAGATCTGTCCTCTTTAATATAATTTATTATTGAAGCAAATTGGTCCATACATGAATGTGTTTGCTTATTGTTTGTCATATTATTATTTTTTATTTGTTCCTCACTTGTGTTTATTTGACATAAACACAACAGTTCAGGTTGCAGAATATTCTCTAAAGTCTTAACGTTTCTGCACTTTTAACCAGGTGCCGACTTGAAAAAAGTAAACTGACTTATTTTGATGCATTGTTTTGCTGCTATTTAGATTTTTAAAAATTCAAGTTTGTTTAATTCTCATACGAATTTGAAACCAGCACAACTGTTGAAACTGTTACTGCTGTTATTTTTATTTTTAAAAGGATCTCCGACATCTTGTACATGTTGGCCTTAATAACTTATTTAGCTGTTCTATAAGTTGTTGTTTGTAATACATAAAATCAACTAATTACTTAAAAAGTTTTATATGTTTATTACATCTTGCTGTGACGTGCCCCTGTGTCATTTTACCTGCCTAATTGTCTGATGTCCTCTCCTTTCAGCTGATTGGCTGGGAGGATAATAAAAGGAAATGAGCTCCACCTGACAGCGAGCGTGCGGCCTGAGGGGAGAAGTCTGTTTGTTGGTCCAGCGCTCCAGCCTCGCCGCCGCTCCACTTTTCCTCCTTTGTAGGGGGTTCCATTTGTTTCAAAAATACGTAGAACTCTAACGTGTAGATGTGTCGTTGCTATGTGTCGT